TTCGCGTGCGGGCTGATGACCGGGCTCGGCAGGCCCGCCGTCGGCCCTGCGCACAAGCCCTCCCGGTTCCCCGCGGATCTCGTCCTCCCTGACCCCGATGATGACTGCCATCGCCGAAGCAGTCGCGTGGCTCCCGGCCCCGTTCCCATCGCCGGCATCCATGCCCGCCTCCCTTACCACCGGCTCAGAGATCGGTAGCCTGCTCCCTACCAATACAAGCCCGTAAATGAGATTTCGTCCACCAAAAACCACCGATACCGATATGAACGCTGAAAGGACGGATTAAAATGTGGCATTCAGCTGGAGCGCCTTACCTGCCGACTGGGTCGAGAGGGAACTCCAACTCCCGCGGCGGACTGGATTCGAGCTGAGGTTGAAGACGACTGCCTGCCTCTGGGCTTCCTTCTCCCCAGTCGCCAAGTTATTTTCCCTGAAGCAGGGCCCACTGGAGACTGGACCGCCGTACCGTAGACGATCAGCGAAAATTTGGATCGCGAGCGCGCGCAACCTACTGCCAAATACTGTTTTGTATTGAAGTTTTTTTTTCTCGGTTTTGCATATACACCCGTAACATTTTCTACAACCAGCAAAATGCCTGCGCATTGCAATGGATCAAATATTGTTTTTTTTCGAAGATGATCGAATCTATTATAAAAGTTCCCTGAATACCAATAACATGTTCCCAAATTTGAAAGCAAACACCATATTTTGATATATATATATATATATATATATATATATATATATATATATATATATATATATATATATATATATATCACTAAAAATAATTTAGGTTTCACCTGAAATCATTCATCTTATTTGTTTGGATGGGCTAGTCTGAAGAGATTAAGTTTTTTTTCAAACATGAGCGGTCCTTTTACAAAAAATACCATGACTTGCCTATCATATGTTAGATATAAATTTGATGGTTAAGATTGACGAATAACAGAGACACCATCAACCGGTTGTAAAGTATAGCAGCGGTTACATCAATAGGGAACATTTTTTCTGCATGGATTTCTACTATTTTACTCCAATATCCTCGGCAATTTTGGCCCCTCAAATGTATATGCTTGGTGCGGATGGAGAGAGAGAAAAAAAAAAGAAAAGGTGATCCACGATGGGCCAAAATCCTATGTAGCACACTGACGGACATGCCCGGGCATCCACATATCCTCCCTATATTTGGGTTGGATATGATAGTTTGTAGACTGCACTGACATAGGAGGACAAAGTGGAGGGTTCGTTTGGATGATTTTTTTTCCTTCTGTCTCCTGTTCGGGTTGTCCGTCTTGACGTCTGGGAAGAATTTGAGGGGACAATTATAGATGTTCCAAGAAAAAACCCAAATTATACCCAAAAATGGTAGTTTATTGGAACTAAAGTTGGTAGGTTAATGTGATCTTATTTTAATAGTTAGACAATATTCTAATAGAAACCCATTTTCAAGTGGGTTCTTTGGTGAGTCCTCTGTGTTCTTTCTGGTGGCCTGTTGTACAGAACAAAATCCACATCTGTAATTAATCGCGTAAAAATTGCCATAATAAAAAAGAGGGGAAATTACATTATATTAGGGCCTATTTGGTTAATATGAAAGTGAAGAAAAAACATAAAATAGAAATATTTGTTTGGTGACACTATTCATTCATTTTATTCAAAAGAAGTGTACACAGAAAAATAATGGAAGAAATTTTCCTTTGGGTTTCAAAGGAAAAACACAGCATGTGTTTTATCCTTGACTTGACTATACTTCTAGGATTCTTGTGTTTTGCCCATTCACACAACATAAAAAAAATTAAACACCTAGCTTTGTATAACTCCTCTGTGTTTCACATATCTATATTGAACATGTAGGTCTGTTTTTTCATGGTTTTTCTGTAGTTTGTGTTTTCAAATCCCGTAAGAAATAAATGAAAACTTGGTTCGTTTCTATCCCAGGATATCCATTTCTACTTCTGTCCAACCACACATAATCTGCTGGATTTTCTTCATCGGATGGGTTCAATCTAATGTGATTTTATTTGGCTAACGGGAAAGAAATCAATCTAATATGATTCAATCTACCGAAAATTCATAATTCGTCTAGTCTAATATATGAACCGATCTACTCGTTTATTGATTGGGTGCCGCACCCCCGGGGAGAGGAGATTAATCTTACCCGGAGCGATGCTGCGGAAATGATGGAGAAACCTAGAGTCGGCGTCGTTGGACTAACCACTCTAATGCCATATTGAACTCATGCTTCAACCAACTCATCCAAAAGTCTGAACCTATGAAGAAAGGTGGTCAATATATTCCTCACCCCCTCTCACATCTAGGCTTTTTAGTGCTAGACATGAGAAGTATCCCAAGGGCCCCGAGATAGTTCAAGTACAAGGAGCTTAGGGATGAGACCAAGAATGTCGACGATGAATCGAGGTTGGGACATGGAGGATTTGACATGGTGTACCGTGCCAAGGCACTCGGAGTGCATAGCCGAAGCACAGAGGTGGCAGTGAAGCAATTTTCTAGCGCCAAAAACAAGGGACGTGCAGACTTTCTCATTGAGCTCTGCGTCATTAATCGTCTTCGTCACCGTAATCTTCTACGACTTCTAGGTATGTGATGTTCTTTTAATTCATTGCGGGCAGCGGCGGACAGAGGAAGAAGAGGAACATTGCTGGTGGCTGGAGCCACAAGACAAACTAGGATCCATCAGATCTTAATCTAAGGGGTTGGTTAAAAATTGGCATGAGGGGGGTGGGGGCAATGGCCCCCGGGTACCATGTAGCTCCACTATATCGGGTACAACCGCTTGTCTTTTTCTTCTAAAAATGCAACTGACTGATGCACAAATCACAATGAGTTCAATTTCAGATGCTTCTTGCTCGTTTAATTTTTCCTTTTGTGAAGGACATTTCTCTTTCTCGGCTCGTTTGTCTCCCTAGATTTCATTTCAGTTGATATATATGAAATGAAATCTCTGTTATGATTTCATTTTGTTGATTTTTGGTCCAATTCCAAATTTCATGTTTGGCTGGCACTAGCATTCATCAACTGAAATGAACTACATGCCATGTTTGGCAACAATTATGAGGTGTAATCATTAACACTAAAATCAGCAATAATATAGCATTGTACCTCTAATATTCACACGAACAATAATATATGCATAAAACTGAACTATGCTGATCCACATGGCACTTTGCCAAAAATTTCAATCATTGCATTACAGAAAAGGTCACAACAACATCAAATGATTATAATACAACCAAGGTTCACAACTAACATATTCAAGGTTACATAAAAAAAACTATATCTTTACAGAAAAAGTCACAACAGCATCAAATGATTATAATACATCCAAGGTTCACAACCAACACATTCAAGGTTGCATAAAAAATATACCTTTGCATTACTAACACCCCCGATGAATATATTCATTGTTTGATGCATTATCCTTTTTTGGCCTTCGCCGAATCAACAGTTTGAGTAGACGACGTCGCAGCAAAGTCAATGTTGTCTGCCATTGTTGACATCCTCTGCGGGTATTTCCGCTGCACTCCAGTAGCATTGTCCTTTGCAAAGACAAGACTGAGTAAATCCCAAAACTTGATGACCTTTGTGCATGTAGCAATCGGCTACTTTGTTTGGCCTCAAAATATGATAAGAAACAGTCCGATGTCGTACATGTAAATAATTCATGGACACAATGGTTTTGAAGGAACTACAACCTGTAAGAAAACGATGACGACTGCAGCGACTCATGCATTTTCATATAGGCATGATTGTGATCTATTTGTGCCAACCCTGCCCCGCGCCACTGCGGTAGGTCCGCCCTGCGTGGACCGCCGCCACCCTGTTCGGATCGTTGGCCGAGGAGACAACCCCACCCCTACACCCTTTATGAACAGTAAATCCACAAAATAGAAAAAAAACCAAAAAATGTGAAACTTTTGAGACATCAGATATGGTCAAACTTTGTAGGTTCTTGCAAGTTGTCATAACACAATATTATGTAGAGCTCTTCGAATATCACAACTTTCAGATTTTAGTGCTCAAAATGATCAAAACTTCAAGCATTGAAATCTTTTTCTTGTATATAGCTCCTCGAATGTTTATTTTGGAATAAAAACTTGCAAGCACCTACAAAGTTTGATCATAGTTGGTGTTGCAAAGTTTCAGATTTGTTTTCTATTTTTTATTTACTATTCATAGAGGGTATAGGGGCACCCGGGAGCTGAAAAAACACCAGAGCCGCCAGAAGGAACTTGTGCAGGAACTAGCATCCGGTTACATTAAATGAAAACATGGAGGTGGTGGCTTGGGGGGGGGGACAAGATCTCCATACCCGCCAACAACACCTAGTTCAGGGAAGGAATCGACCTCTTCCCCACCCAGATCTGCTGCCGAGACAAGTGGAGAGAACTATGGTAGAAGATGGTGTTGATCTGATGCCGATGCACCAAACACAGTCGTGTAAGCATGACCCACCTCCCTGTAGCTAATAAGCGTCAGCTCCTTCGCGTGGTCACCCTCATTGGCGGAGGTTCCCTTGGCGTGTGTCGTGGAGGTCCTGATGGCAGATGGAGTATGGTTTGAGGAGGGGTGTTACAGGGCGGTGGGTTCACCGAGCGGCGGAGTGGTGGGATGAGAGGTGGCTGGGGCAAGACGAGAGGTGATGGGTTCCCTGGGCGGCTGGACCGAGATGAGGGGGAGTTATGGGCAAGATGAGAGGGCGTCGGGGCGAGCGGATTTGAGAAATGACAGGTTGTTGGACAATATTTGGTTTACATACGATTTCAATCATCTAGAATTATGAAAATGATTTCCGACACCCAAATCCGGGACAGCCAAACATGCTGGTGTCGGAATGCGCAAATGATTTCCACGATTCCGACTCAAATGCTGGATTGCCAAACAAGCTGTGGTTTTTTGAGGAGGACCTTCTTGTTCGTATACGGGCCAGAGCATGTAACGGCGCAGCCCATCAACCGTGAGGCCCAACACCGCGGCCCATGCCTACCCCAAAGGCGACTAGACGACGCCGCCAGAATCCTCCACGCACCCACCCGACTGCGCCGCCGCCCTCGTCTCCTCCCACCTCTCGCCCCTCCGGCCGGATCGGCGAAACCTCCACCCCCGCCTCGCGCCGCCTGCCCGCGCCGCCCGCCCGCTCCCACCTCGCCGTCACCGAGCAACAGCATCAGCGGTCTGCGTCCGCGCGCCTGGCTAGCCCCAGCCTAGGGCTTCCGCGCAGGTATCGCCCACTACGACCTTCGCTACTTCGTTGCCTCCCGGTAGAGAAGAGATTCTGCTGCTTGTCTTGTGCTTTTCTGGGTTTCCGCGTGCGCGCGAGAGAGGAGAGGCGGAGATGGCTGGGCTGGGTGGGTGGGAACCCGCCTTGGCGAGTGGAGGAAATCTGAGAGGCCACGGAGTAGTTCTTCAGATGTAGTGTAGAATTGACTTCGTTTGGGCCTGTGTTCATGATAGGTTGTGGTAGAATATAGCTTTCGGTTTGGACCCTGTGACCAGTCTGGAGGATTGCCCGTCTGAGCGATTCCTGGTCAGCTTAGGCCTTGTACAATGCAAGACGCTTAGGGGAGGTGCTTAGAGAAATAAAACCAGTCTTTCTTTAAGCATCGGTGCTTATTTGTAGAGGATAGATGCTTAATTAGGCGTCTCTCTTGTAGAAATAGGCGTTGGTGCTTCAGAAAACCCCCGGTTTAATGGTTTATTTCTCCAAGCAACTCCCTAAGTATCTAGCATTGTACAAGGCCTTATAGCACTGGGAACTCGAAATTGTTGGTGCTAACACTCTAATTTGTGCAATTTTGTGATACATCGACTTGTTCTCCACACGGTCTATGCACAAGAAATTTCTAAGGTGGATGCTTTTGTTCATCATAGTATAAAAGGTGTAGGTCATGGAGCAGCTCCAGGCTTCTTGAGGAAGTGAAAAAAAAGGAAACGCTCAATTGTGCAGACCGCCCCCAACATCATAAACTTAATCGCGTACACACTTGGCTGGAGCTTGCTAGCCAACGCTCCAGAAACTGTTCCACTACTAGTCCGCCGACCACCATTGCACACATCAGATGGACCCGTGCATGGGCACCTCTAGGGAAACAAATCGAACCTGATGCTCTCCAACAGTGCTTCCACTCTGCAATTCCATGTCTGTAGGCTGTAAGCCACACACGAGTCCCCTGTTCTGGGTATCCCTGTCAAGGTTCCTAGATCAGCTCCTTGTGTGGCCTATTTGATATTTAAAACTGTTGATGTTACTCCAAGCATATTCTGCTACTGCTGCTTAACTTTTCACAGTTCTCCCAGTGAGCTAGCATTTTTAATTATTGCTTGATTACTGGAACTGGGTACCACCAGTAAACCTTATTTTGTATATATTGACCTGGGTTACATCACCACAGCGCTACTTAAATCTCATTGCTGAAATTATATCTAGCAAATATCATCTGTGGTACTGCTTGTGCTTGTATGTGTCTGTAAATTGAAAACCTGGATAATGTATGATTTTTGTTTCTGAAGAGATGTTTGTGTGCATATGTGTGGACTCTAGACTCTACTGTGGACTAGGTCTGTTCTGTTCTGTTCATTTTCTTGCAGTCATCTTATATTTTTCTTTGTGACAGGAACGTAAATTTTACTACAGACTTGAAGATGTACTCCGCTCCAGGCAACAACTCTTTGGCTCTTGCAGCCCCACGGCCAGGAATGGAGCTGGGCAACGTGCAGCAACATCCTAACCAGGCTTTTGGCCTTGGGCCTGGTGGGAAACAACGCTCATCCAGTCTGGAGGCGCCGATAATGCTACTCACAGGCCACCAGAGCGCTGTCTACTGCATGAAGTTCAACCCTGCTGGAACTGTGATAGCATCGGGCTCCCATGACAAGGATATCTTCCTGTGGTATGTCCATGGTGAGTGTAAGAACTACATGGTACTGAGAGGGCACAAGAATGCTATCCTTGATCTTCACTGGACCACTGATGGGAGCCAGATAATCTCTGCAAGCCCTGACAAGACTTTGAGGGTTTGGGATGTTGAAACTGGCAAGCAGGTTAAGAAGATGGCTGAGCACTCATCCTTTGTCAACTCATGTTGCCCGTCACGTAAGTGGCCACCTCTTGTTGTGAGTGGATCGGACGACGGTACAGCAAAGCTCTGGGACCTGCGTCAGAGAGGGGCTATCCAAACACTTCCAGACAAGTTCCAGATTACTGCTGTGAGCTTCTCAGAGGCTGCAGATAAGGTTTTCACTGGTGGCCTGGATAATGACGTCAAGTGGTGGGATCTTCGCAAGAATGAAGTCACAGAATCTCTGAAAGGACATCAGGACATGATAACTGGGATGCAGCTTAGTCCTGATGGTTCGTACCTCCTCACCAATGCGATGGACAATGAGCTCAAGATCTGGGACCTGCGCCCGTACGCACCAGAGAACCGCAACATCAAGACCTTTACAGGGCATCAGCACAACTTTGAGAAGACCCTGTTGAAGTGCAGCTGGTCACCCGACAATCGCAAGGTCACTGCTGGGAGTGCTGATCGCATGGTCTACATCTGGGACACGACATCGAGGCGGATCCTGTACAAGCTTCCTGGGCACAATGGTTCCGTTAATGAGACCGCTTTCCATCCCACCGAGCCCATCATCGGATCCTGCAGCAGCGACAAGCAGATCTATCTCGGCGAGCTTTAGGATGCTGTCACTTCCTCAGATAGGAATTCCTGTAATATTTGGGTATGAAAGAGAACTGAAGACCGCAGGTACCGTGTTGCTCTGTCCTAGACATTGAATGCTGGATTGCTGATCGAATTTTCAAACTGCTACTTGTTCAGTACCCTTACGGTTCTTGTTAAACGTGTTGCCATTCTGCCTTTTAATCACTAACTGGTGTGCTCTCTCTGAAAACCTGATTCATTTGCCTCTTCCCTGCTGAATTACGTTGTCTAACTAGTGTATCGAGTCAAATGCTGTTATGGTCTGTAAACTTATCTTTTTCTTTTAGACAAGTTTCTATCGGTGCAATATAACCAGAAAAAGGTTAAGTTAGCTGAAATTCCCTTAAAAGGGCAAACCATATATTCATAAATTTGGTTGATCCTCTAATAGCCAATTATATTGGCATGACTAATAGATTGTCAAGACTGTGTCTGAACATAATTTGTCCATCTGTTGGACTGTTATGATCCGTCAGCTTCTATTTCATGATCTGCCGTTTCAATCTATATTCACGTGGCTCTGTTCAGAAGAGTATGACTGCCATGCATTGTTCTTTTTATTCAACCATGGTCATGGCCACGTGACAGCCAATTTTTAGGTAACGCCTGTTATTGATGAAAATAATGGGTTGTAGACAGTGGTTTCGTTTCTTTCCTGTGTACAACTCATAATTAATAGCAAGATAAAGATACTCGTGAAAATTATCTTTAATTAACAAATTGCTGATTATTTAAGTGTGTTTATTTGGCTGATGGTGGGGGTGAAATTGTGTATATGTGAAATTACATATTGACTTCTGAAAGATCTTGAGATGCCATGTTTTGGCAAAATGGAATCAGTTTCATGTATACTTTTAAGACAATTCTAGCTAGGGAGCGAACATTCTGACAAAGTAATCGCCGTTGGATTTTATGTTTGTGGTTGTGCGTGTGCTTGAACCTAGTGTATGCGTGAAATCAGCCGGC